AGAACAATCAAAGCAATAAAGTTCAAATAAAATATTTATAAATTAATGAAGTTAATTATTTTGTAGTAAATCTGTAAGAAGTTTTTTATATTAATTAATTTTCTTTTAAAGCAATAAATATTGCCTTAAAATACAAAATGTTCCGCACTTCATTATATCAATCACTAAAAATCCATTAAATAATTAATTATTCATTGGAAGCATTTCAATTAAACTTACCCGGCTCTGGAGTAGTGGTTAGTTCATTGGTTTCATTGGCGTGTGTTTTATCCAGGAACACAACAAACGATATCACAAGCAACAAGGCCCACATGGGCTTGTGCCGTAATCGTTGCAAGAACCGTTGAAATTGTAATAAAAACATTTCCTTCAAATATTTACGCTTTTTCACAAGTCAAATTCTCATTTAAGATTAAAACTGTTTTCAATGTGCACGCAATTCCATGAAACATAAATTAAGTTTCATTTCGTATTTTTTACATTTTACTCGAGCACTTTATTCACTTTAAAATATTGAAAAATATTGATTTTAAAAATTTTGCAGAGTTCAAAAAAAGAAAAAAAAAAAAACCCAACAACTTTATTACTAAATAAATCTTCTCAGGGATGCAAAATATAAACAAGGATTTTAATCAGAAACGTTCTAAGTAAATCAAAAATTTTATAAACAAATATCGATGGAAAAATAAACAAATCCTTACGGAACCGGAAGTAAAATGCAATTTAAATTCAGAGAAGAAAGCAATGAAATTAAAGTTTATTTAATACAAAAAAAAAAAATTATTTAACTAAATTTGAGTGAAAAATATTGCGATAATATATAGCAAATGCAAAAATAATTTAAAACCATTAAGCGTTTATCTCTTAAATAAAAAATATAAAAATGTCAAAAAATTTGTTTGAAAGCATGGCTTCCAACTGAAAATGTCATTCGTTTAATTTACACACACGTGCATCGACAAACATACATACATACATACATCCATCCATCCATCCATACATATATACATACATACACAAGCTAAAAGAGTGAAGCACAGCATAGAACCGTCAGTCGCATTTGTAAATATTTCGAATTTTCACATATCGTGTCACATCAGGTGGCATATGAAGTAATTTACATTTTTTTCTTTTATTTTGTTTTGTTTTTGTTGTCTTTATTTGAATTCTGACAAAGTCCTTTAAATTTTATCTTTCAAACTCATCAAACACTACTCGCTAGCTATCCTCGATTTTCACCGTTCTGACGAGTACGACGTTCAAAAACGAACTGAAATCGAAAGCTAAGTGCAGCCGTATTTATAGCCGTCTAAGCAAAGTTCTGACTACACAATATCCTTTTTGCCTGTGTTTCGGTGGAAAAGTGCAATTTGCATTTTGTTTCGTCAGGACATGCGCAGTGCACTGAACGAAAGTGTGGAGCTTTTACGCTCCTTGATGGTTTATTTTGCCGGCAAATGTTTGTTTTGAATTATTGTAGCGGCAATTCGCGCGCCACAAGTTACCATTTTGCGGTCGTCGGACCATTCGATTCAGGTGAAATGTCACTGTCTTGATCTGTCTTGATTGACGTCCGCGTGCGTAATTGTTTGCATAAATTTGGCTTAGCACACGTATTTAACGAGCTTAATTTGATATAGGAGTATTTTTTTTTGTATTTTACTAATATTATTTATTAGTGCAATTATATATATATACAAATAGGAATTTGGGTTTTAGATAATAACTCGGTCAATCAAATTTCTTTGCTTTTATTCATGTGACACGCAAGCAACGAGTATCTTTGCGAAGCTTACACTTCACAAAAGATTCCAAATAAACATGCGGTTGTTGTTTAGTGCCGCCGCTGCACAGTGTAACAAAACAAAAATTAGCCGGTAAAATTCGATATTTTCGGAACCAGTACAGATATTGATATGAAATTTTCCTTGAGATGGTCTCTATATTAAGTCTAATTTGAGCTCAATCGGCTTACCGGAACCCCTCCAAATTTTAGCACAAACATGGAGCATTTAGAGGTGTCCCTTGATACCTCAAAACCTATGATAGGTAGAAAGAATTTTGGTGTCCAAAAAACCTACATTATAATACATATGTCCCAACTTTTCTATGGTATTCCGCTCACTGTCACACCCACTCCATACAAAATTTTCATATAAAATCGTTTATCGTTAAAAAAAAATTTTTACTCCTATTAGACTATATATATTTATTATGATTCACCCATTAGTTTTGAAGTTATTTACAGTTTTCTGCAATTTTAGAGAAATTACGATTTCGCAAAAATTGGACCATCGCAAAAATTTACTTTTTATTCAAAAATAATCATTTTTAATTTTTTTAAAGCTTTTTTAAAGATTTAAAAAAAAGACCATCTCAAAAATTATATTTTAGAAAAGTTTCATATCCATATCTCTACTGGTTCCAAATATATCGAATTTTGATTGGCTAATTCCTGTTTTGTCACACTGTGCGCTGCCACTACGATACAAAGTAAATGCATTTTTCTCCATTGCATATTATAGGAAAATCATCGACGCCTTATTGATACCTAGCCATACTTAAAAGGTTTTTTGATGTAAATGGTATGGTGATTAACGCAGATTAATTTTACTTCGTTGATATAAAAATCCGTACCTATGCGTAGCAATTAAAGTAAAGTGAGGCAGATCCCACATATAACTCAACTACCTAAAAAAATAGACGCTCGATCCACATAAACAGCAAAACATTTGAAATTCCCAACGAAACACTGAAAGATGCACCCATAACATAGAGTGCAGGCTGATTGAGAGAAGACACTAACTCGAATAATTTATATATAATAACACCAAAGTTTATAAATGTCTAGAAATATTTTAAGCACGTAAATCATATCACTTCTAGTAAGCACTAGAAGCATATACATTTGTACAAACAATCCTAATGAGTTTTTCTGAAAGAAACATTCTAATAAATGCTTTATAATATTTATTTATGAGAACAAAGTCAATTTGGTAATACTATATGTATTTGTATATAAATTTTTTTAAAATACAAGCGCTGCCAAAATAGCAGGAATTTTTTAAAGTCTGAGATTAAATTTAGTAATAGGTGGTTATTTACAATATTAAGTGTGTGTCAAAAAGTGTTCTCAGACTTTAAAGGCTAAACATTTTAAAAATCAGCGTCCAGCGTAAAAACACGTTCCATACGCTTAGTGGACACACCCGCTTTTCGGTATTCTCCCACACGCCTTTCGAAGAAATTCGTTTTTCCATCCAAGGAAATCAACTCCATAAATGGAAATGGATTCTTACTATTGTAAACCTAAAGTAATTTGAATAAAATATTACGGCTTGCAAGTAAAAAAATGAATTATACAAACCTTGCCAACGTTGAGCTGAACTAGCAAACGATCGGCAACAAATTCTATATATTGGGACATAAGTTTGCAATTCATACCAAGGAGATTAACAGACAAAGCTACAGTTAGGAACTCTTTTTCAATTTTAACAGCATCTGTTATAATTTCAATAATACGTTGCTTAGATGGCCGTTGCACCAAGTGTTGAAACATAAGGCATGCAAAGTCACAATGTAATCCCTCATCACGAGAAATTAATTCATTAGAAAATGTTAAACCATGCAAGATGCCACGTTGCTTTAACCAGAAAATAGCAGCAAAACTTCCACTGAAAAATATACCTTCAACCGCAGCAAAAGCAATGATACGTTCACCAAAGTTCGCACTTTTAGAAGAAATCCAAGCTAGTGCCCATTCAGCCTTACGCTTTACTGCTGGCATGGTCTCAATAGCATTAAACAAGCGCTCCCTAAAAAATATATTTATTTTACAATACATACAACATATGCCATAAATAAATATACCTTTCGTCATAATCCTTAATATAGGTGTCAATCAAGATGCTATACATTTCGGAATGGACGTTCTCCATAGCAATTTGAAATCCGTAGAAGCATCTAGCTTCAGCAACTTGAACTTCTTTGCTGAAGCGCTCCACTAAATTCTCGTTAACAATACCATCAGAAGCAGCAAAGAAAGCTAAGATATGCTTAAGAAAGAAACGCTCGTTTTCTTTCAATTTCTCCCAATCATCCAAATCCTTAGCAAGGTCAACCTCTTCCACAACCCAGAAAGAAGCCTCAGCCTAACAACAAAAAAGAAACAATAGCTTAATAGCTGAATTAACTCCAATAAAACACAAGCTTTTCTATTAGTAAAAATCAATTTAAAATTTTAAAAATATTAGTATTAAAAATATTAACATAAACTTTAGAGAATATAAAATAAAATAAAGTTAAAAAATAATTGCACAGCTCTCGTCAAAAAATTTTGCGCCTCTATTTTTTTCACTGAACGCACCAACGCGCAAATCGAAAAACAAAAAGTAGAATTACAAAAACAATTTCAAGTGAATGCCGTGCAGACATGTTGAAACATGTTCCCGCGCAAATTAGTCATACAATTTTTGCCATGACCTTCGAATTTTTCAACGGTTTTTCCCCGCATTTCTTTATTTCACAACAACTTACTTGTTTGTACATGGCCCAAATGTCGTAATATTCTATTGGGAACATAACAAAGCGACGAGGGTTTTCTTGCAGTAAAGGCTCAATAGAAGGATCGAATGGAACCGGAGCCTTATTAGCTACTGCATAGACAGAATCGGAAGCCTCAGCAGAATCAGGTTTAGCGACCAGCTCTTCGTCCTTCGTCATTTCACGAACATTAACCTTCTCCGTCAAAATTTTGCTTGGACTCTGTAAATATAAAGAAAATACAAAAAATCCAATAAGCACTTGTAAAATAATTTTTATTCCACACATATGCACTTTAAACATTATATATTGTATATACCTTAAGAGAAACCTTCTCAAGTTGTTCAGCAATATTTTCTTTACCAACACCAGCCATTTTGTTTAGTTTGTTGCTCTAATCAGATAACTCGAAATCCAATTATGTAAAATAACTTAACTCGCGGACACCAAATGCACGACTTGACACCTCGACGTTTAGAAACAGAAGAACAATGCCGGTTTCTGCGATTGGCCTTGTATGAAAGCCTGCAGTGTACGTTTTCATGCATTACACAAATATTGTGTAACTACACAATGACTTCATACTTGTTGCTTTTCAAACACTTATACAATTTTTTAATGTACATTGATTTTTTCATAATTTACGCCACTTAAATTTTAAAAATCAATCTATATAAGAGAATATTAACGAATTAATAATATTCTTTTCCAAACCATTCTTAATATGCAAAACTTTATTTTTGTATGTGTGTAATTACACACGATGTATGTTATTAAAACTACAGCGAAACAGCTACAGTATGACATAAAAAAAGATGACTGCACTTGCAACTTTACATAACTTATTACATAGTATATAATATATACTATATATAACAGCATATAACTTTGAAGAACAAATTTATTTTAACTTATTTGAAATATTGGCATTCAAACCATATGATCACAATTTTCCAACCAATTGTATGGTTTAGTTTCTTATAGTTTACAATTGTGTATTGTAACTAATGCTATTTCTCTCAACTACACAAAAATACTACTTACCTTGTTTAACATTGTCGGACGTGAATGCATTTGAGATTTTTACGTTTCCATCATAAAACATGAGTGACAAACATTATCGAAAACTAATATTAAGCATTTTTATTTCATTTCATCAGCATATTTATTTCATCAGCAAGAAGGTCAACCATAGGTTCATCTATTTAACTAGGATTTACTAGGATTCCATTTAATTGCTTGTACTTTTCTTGTGGATTCATGTTTTCCACTTATACGGTGCTGTATGAATACGGATATAATCAATTTATGATCACTAGCTGCGTACACATCTGCCACTGTCCATAGACTGTTTTTACAAATACTTCTACTTCCATTATAAAAAGTGTGATTAATGCCATCATTAAGCAGAAAGATATACAGTGAAATAAAAGCCTCCAGGAGTGCAAAACCTCTTCTGTTTGTACATCTGCTGCCACAGGAAGTGAATCATGCGTTAAAGTCCCCTGTTATTAGTAATGGTGATTTCTGTTTTGCATTCTCTACAAAGTTATCAAGCATTGTATTGAAGTCTTCCATGGTGTCGTGAGGTGAAGCATAACAGCTGTAAAAATGTATGCCGTCTATTTTTGCATATACGGAGCCATTATGCTCGATGCTCCAACCATCCCAGTCCGGGACGTTAAACAGTTCTGAAATTAAAAGAACTTCTGCTGCTAGATTTTGTTTATCTATTGGTATTGCGTAACTTCACAGTGGTTTAAGTTGATTTGAAGACATTTAACCATGAATATGTAGTTTTCTATAAGCGGCTTGGTAAACTAAACAGATTTTATTTAATATGTCATAATTGTTGTTTTCGGCAGGGTATAGAAGACACCTGGGTGTGTTGCCGCAAGATTTGATTTTATGACCTGTGATACCGCACCTAAAGACGCTCCTGCTCGGTTGATATCATTTTTGCACTATTTTGAAACGTGCCCATATTCCACGCATTTATAGCATCGAATTGGTTGTAGGTATGCTCTAACTTTACATACTTCCTAGCCAATCTGAATGCGCTCAGCATTAAATAAGATCTTAGCGTTACGTGTGGGTAAAACGATTCTCGCAAATAATTTAAACGAAATTCTTAATTTTGGAAAAGTATCCAGGAGTGCAACCAGTCGTATACATTCGAGTCCGCAGTTCCTTCGCACAAAATTTTATCAAGTAAAACAAACCAAAATAAAATCTTTAATAATTTACAATCCACTGTTCGATCAGTTAGGAGCGATTGCATTGCATTGTATTGTGTGCGAAGTGTTTAACATAATGGTTGGATTGAATTGGTGTTGTTTGTGTTATTATAATATTTATAATGTTTTTCTGCATTCTATCGTTTATATTTTTGACATTCGCTACATCTACGCCAACGAATTAAACTTTAAGTTTATAGTGCGAATTGTGTATTATCTGTTTTTTACTTAGTGTGAAATAAGAATTTAATTTAAGAGAATTTAAGAGAGCTTTTAATTAACTCTCTTATATCAAATTTGGAAAAATCTTTAAAATTAAATATTGTATTATAATTGTCAACACTTTGTTTTACTTTTTATAATTATGCTTAAAGCCAAGTAAAAAAATGTGTATATTTAAATGTTACTAATATTGTTTAAATTAAAATATTTAATATTTATATATTAATAATAAATGTCTTTATTGTTAAGCTTCGCTTTATTGTTCTCTATAAATTATGTAGAATTATTCTCTTATTATTATTAAGATTTATTGGGTAAAACCAGAATGTAATATAGAAAATTATAATATTATAGTTGCTTCTCTTTCATTTGTTGTCGGTATTAATTGCTACTCACGTAAATATTGTTCAAGTAGTTGTTGTTATTGTGATTACCGTTAGTGTAGTTTTTGCTTCTGCTGCCTCTGATATTGTTGATATTTACACAGTTGTTGTTGTTGTTTTCGAGGCAGCTATTACTGCTGCTGCAATGGTGTTACTCTTTGTCGTTATTCTTGTAAACGCAGCTGTTGTTGCTGAAATTCTTGCAGTTGTTGTAGCTGCTGTGGTGTAAGCGATTCCTTACTCGGCTGTTTTTGTTGCTCTTCGCGAAATAGTTCTTGAAGCAGGTCTTCTATCTTTCGTGGTTGCATCACCTTTTCTTGTTGTTGTTGTTGTCGTTCTTGTTGGGCTTGTTGTTCTTGTTGTTCTCGCAATTGTTGTTCATGTAGTTGTTGTTCACGCAGATGTTGTTTTTGTTTCTGTTCTTGTTCTTGTTGTTTCTGAAATTGTTCAAGCAGTTGTTGTTGTCGCAGTTTTTGTTGGTTTTCGCGCAATTTTTGTACTTGTTCTTGTTGTTGTCGCAATTGTTCTTGCAGCAATTCTTGCCATGGTTTCTGTTCTTGTTGTTTTTGTGGCTGTTGTTGCTGTTTTTGAGGCTGTCGCTGTAGTTGCTCTTGTGGTTGACGCTGTTGTTGTCCTTGTGGTTGTCGCTGTCGCTGTTGTAGTTCTTGTTTTTGTGGCTGTCGCTGTAGTTGCTCTTGTGGTTGTCGCTGTTGTTGTTCTTGTGGTTGTCGCTGTCGCTGTCGCTGTTGTAGTTCTTGTTTTTGAGGCTGTCGCTGTAGTTGCTCTTGTGGTTGTCGCTGTTGTTGTTCTTGTGGTTGTCGCTGTCGCTGTTGTAGTTCTTGTTTTTGTGGCTGCCGCTGTTGTTGCTCTTGTTGTTGTCGCTGTTGTTGTTGTCCTAATAATTGCTGTTCACGCAGTTGGTTTTGCTGCTGTGGTGTAAGCGGCAGCTGGAACTGTTCTTGTACTTGCTGTTTTTGAATTTGTCCACGCAATTGTTGTCGTTGTTGACCTAATTGTTGTTGTTGTTTTCGGAGATCTTGTTGATTACGCAGTTGCTGTTTTTGGTGTTGTTGTCTGTTTTGTTGCTGTTCTTGTTGTCGCAGTTGTTGTTCTTTTTGACGCAGCTCTCGTTGCCGCTGCAGTTCCAGCTGGCGTTGTTGCTTTTCGCGCAATTGTTGCTGCTCACGTAATTGTTGTTGCAATGAAATTATAGTTTGTTGATCCCGTTGTTGTGTTTGCAACTGTTGAGCATTTGAAGTTATAACAACAGCAATCACAATGATTGCTAGATCTAGAATTAGTTTAATAATACTATATATTATTAAACAATAGTAATTTGTATGAATGTGTATAAATATGTATAAATCTTTTAATTTTTGATTGAATGGAATAAAGAGTTCTTGAAAATACATTACTTAAATGAAATATCCATTGAATTTTTAGTTTATTGAATTTTTAGTAGCCCTAATAAATAATTACAAAAATTATTAAATAAACTGAATAGAATAATAATGATTTTTAATTCAAAATTCCAATAAAACATTTGCATAAAAAAACTTAAGTGACTCATGCTCGATCTCGATTGCATGGATGCATTGGATTTTATAAACTTTTTAGTAATTTCATTTTAAATATATATATATATATACATAATTATATCAATTAAGTGTGTGTTATCGCAACAACTATTTTATGTATATATATATATTGTACATATAACTCTTAAACTATTAATTGCACTTTTTGAATAGAACTTACGAAATATTCCCATCTTTTATGTGTAAACTCTTAAACTTAATAAATTTTAATGAAATTTTCCAGCGCTAGTACTAATAATTTTGTTGATTTAAACTCGGAGATCTGAGCAATACTGACGTTAGAACTGTAATTACATACAGTTTCAATCAAAACCGGAAGAAACAAGCTTAAAACAAGTTTGAATTTCTATTAAAGAGTGTCTAGAGTAATGTTTAACAAAGTAAAGATGATGTATGATATTAGTATTGATTGGTAAACGATGTTTCATATAATATTTTGCAGAAAAACCAGTTAAATTGTAATGAGAGACTTTTATTTTTCTTAAGTAATATATAATAAAAAGTTTAAAATAAACATTAGGAAATAATAGATGCAGTAAAATTGTAGTGATTATATTTGCAGTGAAATGACCCATGAATTTAAAATTGAAATATTTATTCTTAAGGCTAAATTAGGTGACATAGACTTAGCTAATGTAGAAATCTTAGGTGGCAAAAGTCCCCATGCCGAAAAACCCGTACAGATTCGATATTGAGCACATAAAGTTGAACTAATGACTTATTTTGTTGTCGTAGATATAACAAACGTAAACAATGTAAATGGCAGAACGTAAAAAACTTATTAAGGCCGTGTGCGAGTTCGAGTAAATTGATGGTTAATTGAGTGAAATAGTAAATTATGTATTTCAGCGACTGTTGGTATTTACCAGAATTTCGTTTAGGGTAAATTAGATAAAAATAATGTAAATTAGGTATTACTATTATGTGAATTTTATAAGATGTTTTATAAATAAATTTGGAAACTTTTAACCAAAAATAATAAATAAGTGCAATAAATTAATAAATAAATATTTACATAATTGCAGCACAAAAAATCCCTAGGAAATTTTAATTTATTTTACCTCAATTTACTTGAACTCGCACACGGCTTAATATTGACAGTGTGCATAAAACAAAATAACATAAAAACACAAACAACA